TTTAATTTAGCCTCAAGAGTTTTTGGGAGAACATATGTTTTGTTTGTTTGTTTTTAATTTTAATTCCAGTCTAGTTCACATACAGTGTTATATCAGTTCCAGGTGTACAATATAGCAATTCAACACTTCCATACATGACCCAGTGCTCATCACAACACTCATGCTCCTTAATCCTCATCACCTATTTCCCCCATCGCCCCCGCCCACCTCCCCTCTGGTAACCAGCAGTTTTTTCTCTATAGTTAAGAGTCTGTTTCTTGGCTTGTCTCCTTTTTTTTTTTTTTCCCTTTGTTCATTTGTTTTGCTTCTTAAATTTCACATATGATTGAAATCATATGGTATTTGTCTTTCTCTGACTGGTTTATTTCATATTTATATTCTCTAGCTCGTCCATGTTGTTGCAAATGGCAAGATTTCATTCTTTTTATGGCTGATTAATATTCCATTGTATATATATATATAAACCACATCTTCTTTACCTATTCATCTATCAGTAGGCACTTAGCTTGCTTCCATAATTTGGCTATTGTATATAATGCTGCAATAAACACAGGGATCCCTTTAATTTTGTGTTTTCATATTCTTTGGGTAAATACGCGGTAGTGTGATTACTGGATCAATTTTTTGAGGAACTTCCATACTGTCTTCCACAGTGGCTGTACCACTTTACATTCCGACCAACAGTGTGGGAGCATTCCTACTGGGGAAACATATGTTTTAAAAAATCATTTCCAGGGGTGCCTGGGTGGCTCAGATGGTTAAGTGTCTGCCTTCGGCTCAGGTCATGATCCCAGGGTCCTGGGATCGAGCCCCACATCGGGCTCCTGGCTCAGCGGGGAGTCTGCTTCTCTCTCTCCCTCTGCTTCTCCCACTGCTCATGCTCTCTCTCTATATATATATCTCCGTGTCTCAAATGAATAAATAAAATCTTAAAAAAAATCATTTCCAATTTCTTTATTATGGTAAATGTCAAATATATAGAAAAGTGTAAATAATAGCGCAATAGTACAATACTCAACCCTCAAGGATTCAAGAATTAATGGAAGTAAATATACTTGGAAGTAATTTGCAGATATCATGATACTTGAGCCCAAAATATTTATCACACGTATCCTAAGAATGAGGGCATTCTCCATAACTATAATATGATTTTCACACCTGAGAATATTAACAATAATTTCTAACATCATCTGCTATCCCATCCATAGTTAAAATTTTGCCAATTTTCCCACAAGGACTCTAACAGCTGGTTTTATTGACTCATGATCAAATTCAGATCATGCATTTCCTTTGAGTGTGATGTCTCTTCAGTATTTTGTAAATCTAGAACAGTCGTCCAACTTTTTTCCTGATGTTGACTTACCCGGGTCAAGGACACACGTCTTGTCGTGTGTTCACATTGTGGGTTTGTCTGAGTCTTTCCTTGTGTATTATTTAGCTTGTTTCTCTTCCTCTAGTATTGCCCACAAACTGAAAGTACATCTAACATCTTGATTAGGTTCTGTAAAGGCACATTCTGCCCTTTGCAATTAGAAGTCATCCCAGGGTGATGGTTTGGCACGAGAAGCACGAAAGTTTTAAATTCCTTACTTACCACTTCTTACTTCTTTGATAATATTCATTCTGTAATTACTTATTCAACACCTGATTTCCCCACCGTGTCTGTTTAGCTGACTGCTGAACCCTAGTGCCGGGTACATGGTAGGCGTGCCATGAATGTTTGAAGGAAAGAAATGGAATTTATGATTTCTATCTCTGATATTCTATTTAGAAAGCTGTGTTTTACATTTTAAACTGATTTTTATTTTTTAAAAAATTAATAAATATGCCTGCTAAAAGAATTCAAATTAGGGGCGCCTGGGTGGCTCAGTCCTTAAGCGTCTGCTTTTGGCTCAGGTCATGGTCCCAGGGTCCTCGGATCGAGCCCCTCATCGGGCTCCTTGCTCGGCGGGGAGTCTGCTTCTCCCTCTCCCTCTGCCGCTCCCCCCTGTTCGTGTTCCCTCTCTCGCTGTGAGATCATCCTATATCTGCTCGAATAGTTCCATCTCATTGTTTTTCAAGACTACATGGTATTCTCTGCTATAGATATAGCAATATTTATTTAACCAGTCCCTTACTGATGGACACTTAGGTTATTTCAAGTGTTTTGCTATTACAAACAAGGATGCAATTAACACCCTTATACATACAAGTCTAAATGTACATACATTTTATACACAGCACAAATTCCTAAAAGTGGAATTGCTGGATCAAAGGGTATCTGCACTTTAAAAAATACTTTTTTAAAGATTTATTTATTTATTTGAGACAGAGAGAGAGAAAGCACGAGCAGGGGGGAGGGACAGAGGGAGAGAGAAGCTCAAGCAGACTCCCTGCCGAGCAAGGACCCCCGAAGGGGGGCTTGATCTCACGACCCCAAGATCATGACCTGAGCCAAAATCGAGTCAGATGCTTAACGGACGGAGTCACCCAGGCGCCCCTCAAAAATAATTCTGAGAGTGTCAAATTGCTCTCCAAAGAGGTTGTACCAGCTCACACCCCTGCCAGCAGTTTTATTGGGTGACTGCTCCCCTGCACCCTCTACTCCTGTGTGTGTAACAAGCAAAGGGTGAATATCTGCCCATGCCAGGCTCCCATGAGATACATTCTCACAGCTGACATCTCCAAAGCCTTCCTCCCTCCCAGCCATCCCTGCCCCCACCCCCAAGCCAAGAAGCCACAGCGTCCTGCCAAGTTTATCTCTCCTCTCAACACCCATCTCTTCTATCCTCTTCCTGCTTCACTCTGCCCTGGCCTCAGCTCAGGCTTCCGCCGCCCATATTTGGGACCATGGCTGTGGTCTCTGCATGTGGTCTCATGTCTCTGTACCCCTGGTCGAGGTTCCAAAATCCAGCTGCCGCCTTTGAGCACCGGCCCCACCCACTCCGTGTTCCTCTATGGCACCCACTGGGCTGCCTAAAGAGCTGCACTATCTGGCCCCTCCTGCTGTCCCTAGCACCATTTCCCACCCTTCCTCCCTCGTGTGCCATTCCAAAATTCTCATTTCCCATACTCCCTACTGTGGCAGCCCCCCCCCCCCCCCCAAACGTTCTGCTTCCTTCCTGATGCACCTCCTCGCTTAGGCCACCTTTACCTGAATTGCTTCTCCTTCCCAAATTCCTCTGAGCCATAAGGCAGCAGGAAGCATTTTCCAAACCTCCCAGGCCATCCCAGGTGGGCTGAGGCGCCCCCCTCCCGGTGCTCCCCACCTTCCGTGTTCTCTCTCTCAATCTCTCACACTGCGTTTATTGCATTTCAGGTTTTATTTATTTATTTAAAAAAATATTTTATTTATCCATTTGAGACAGAGCGCGTCAGTGCAAGAGCAGAGGGAGAAGCAGAAGCAGACTGTCCTCTGAGCAGGGAGCCAGACCGGGGGCTCTGGGCTCGATCCCAGGACCAGGAGATCATGACCTGAGCAGGAGGCAGCCACTTAGCCATCTCAGCCACCCAGGCGCCCCGCATTTCAGGCGTCTTTCCCAGCACTGGGGTGTGGATTCCTTGAAAGCAGAGGCATGGCCCAGTCATGGGGTGTCCCTGGGTCCTGGCATCGTGCCCAGCACACAGAGAACGCGGATACATGCGGTTGAGTTGAACTCCATGTGGGTGAAAGCTGCGTGGGTGGTGGTGATGGGGAGAGACTGACTGTGGTCTCATTCAAAGCTGGGAACCCTGGTGACTCCCTGGTGTGTCAGGGCCCCTGGGATGCAAATCTTGGGGGTAACCAGTGTTTACTGGGAGAGCAGGAAGTCAAGCAGTACCCGAGGGAGGAGGAAGGCGGAGGCACGGAGGGCTGAGTATTTACCCTGCCCCAGTGGGCTCCAGCTCAGAGTGGAGCTGATGGGAGCTCTGGGCTTCTGTTCCCGGATCACACACGCTGCAGGTACCCCCCCCCCCCAACACCTGGGGGACAGACCAGCATCTGGGGCGCGGGGAAGCCGACTTGAGGCTGGATTCACAACGTATGGGGATGAGGGGGGGTGAAGGGGCAAGGTAGGCAGAGCTGGGGGGACAGAGACCAACTTTGGAAAGGGCAAATCTCCCTTCTGTCCGGTGTGTTTATGTGTATTGGGGGGAAGACTGCCCCCTCCCCCCGCCCCGGAGATGGGTGAATGATGCTGGCCCCCATCTTTCCAGCCCCCGGGGGTGGGCGGGGGAGGGGCAGGCTGGCGTCACCGAGGACAGAGAGGCCTCTAGTGGCCACCGTGGGAAGCAGGAGAGGGCGGGCCGGGGCGGGGCGGCAGGGCACTTCCTGCCAGGGCCTGAGGCTGCCCAGTTGTGCAAAGGAAGTGCTGCCCGGGCCGGAGGGGCGGAGGCAGGAAGTGGGCCGGAGGCTCGTGCAAGGGCGCGGCCGGTAGGTGCCGAGAGGCCGCCGAGGGCCGGGTGGGGGAGGGCGGTGCGGAGGGCAAGGGGACCAAGCGCCTGCCCACCATCTCCCGGAGACCTTGACGCCTCCGCCTGCCCGCCCTTCCCGACGCCTCGGCCGAAGTTCTTCCGTTTGGAGCCGAACTTGGCTTTCCAGGAACCCGCCCCGCCCCCCAGGCCCAGCTCGGGGGCCGCCGGAGCCCCGCCCCTCTCCCCGGGGACAGAGGCCACACCCCTCCCGCCTGCAAATACCTTCCAGGGGCCTCCCCTAGGGACGCAGCCCAGCTTTACTTTACAGCTACTACTAGCGAGCCCTCGGCGTGCAGGCATTTAAGCAACTCTGCAGAGGGCGTTTCTCCATTTTGCAGGTCAGTAACTGAGGCTATGAGAAGCAGAATAATTAAGTAGTACAGCGGTGCACGCGGGGCCGCCCCCGGGGGGCGTCGACCTCGCGCTTGCACGCTTGAAGCCCCGGGGCCCTAGGGCAGCCGCTCCCTTCACGCTCCCCCCGCAAAGGATTTACTGGGGGGTGTGGCCTCATGGGACACACAACCGCTCCCCGCTTCCACGTCCCCCCAATGACCACAGAGGCAGCATGGGGGTCTGGCGTTCTGTTTAGTTCTTGGCATACTGTGGGGCTCTCAGTCAGAGAAGGCACTTAAATGGGAAGGTCACCCTATTCAGGCCAACCTTATCCTCCCTCCCACCCCCAGTTCTCGGGGGGCGGAGGGGCAATGGTATCTCCATTTGACATCCCCCCTTGGCACTGGTATGTGGGTCCCCTTAACCGTTAAGCCCTGGGGAGAGCCCAAGGCCTTGACCTCCAGACTCTCAGCATTTTGGGGAAGGGGTTCCAGATAAAGAAGTCAGAGCTGGAAGGCAGGATGTCTTGAGAGCTGCTCCCAGCCAGCAGGGGGTGAGGCAGAGGGCGACAGGGGGTGGGTTGGCACGGGGGGGGGGGGGGCGGGGGGACAGCTTGGCCAGGCTTCCTGGAGACCCCCAAGCCCCGCAAGAAGGGTCCCACCTCCTGCAGCTCCCCTAAAGGCACCGGTGAAGTACGGAGTGGGTGGGGGAGGCCCCGGATCGGGTGCAGAGACCCCTAGACACTCAGCTGGTGGGCCTAGCACAGCGCTGGGCACAGAGAAGGTGCTAATGTGTTTTGAATGAATGAATGAGTAACTGGAGCAAAGAGGGTGTGAGGGACAGAAGACAGGGCTTGGGGCCCCTTGGCCCAGCCTGTTTCATTCAGAAAATAGCAGTTTAAAAAATGTAAAAATCCTTTCCCTCCCTCCCCACAACGTATGGGTCCAGGAAAGGGGTGAAGGAGGGGGTCTCTCTCTACCCCGAACCTTCCCTCTCCCCTTCCCCTAAAAATCTATATACACATATACATATTTATATGGCACCACAAAGGGGTCCTGCCTCCACCCCCACACTAGGAGCTGGGGGAGCCAAGCCCCAGGGCCTTGGGGTGGTCAAGGCAGATGTGAGGGGTCAGGGCTTGGTGTGGGGAGCAGCCTTTGGCTGCTCATGAGCCTAGAGAAGCTGGACTCTGGGGTCCCAGAGGACACACGCCGCTCCCTTCACAAGTGGTAACAGATCTTCTGCCCTCCCTGCCCTCCCAGGCAGAGACTGGTGGGGGGCTCTATCAGTCCCAAGGGAGGAGGTGGGAGATTGTTTCCTCCCGCTCCAGCCTAGACTGCAGCCATCTGGAGACCGTTCCAGGCCAGAGCTGACCCGATCACGGCCCTGGGAAAACAGGGCAGGGAAAAGGGCTCTACGCAAGGCACTTGGGTGTCCACTGTTCCCAGGCTGGGGGCCCAAGGCACGGGACGGCAGGAACCCTGCCCCTCCCCGAAGTAGAACCAGAAAGGGCCAAGGGGCCCAATTTGGCAGCAAAGAAACATGGCAGCAGAGAGAGAGAGAAAGGGGGAGCGGCACACAGGGCCCCACAGGTCCCCCAAGAAGGAGGAGGAGATTCTAAGGCACTGACACACGGACCCGGAGGCTCATCGCCCTTGGCGCAGCCTAGGCCAGGCTGCCCCGTTCACAGCCTGGCCAGGCAGGTGCGGAGGGCCCACCGCCCCATGACGCTGAGGTGGGAGCGGTGGCCGCTGGGTTTTCTTAAGGCAAAGTCCACGTGTGAGGGGTGTGGGCCTCGGTCAGGGGCAGCTCCTGGCCCCAGGGCGCCTCACTAGCTGCCGGGCCGAGGCTGCCTGAGCACTGAGTACACGTCATCCACGCGGCTGAGCTGCTCGAAGAAGGGCAGCAGGTCGTGAAGCTCCGTGTCGCTCATGTTGTCAAACCAGGAGGCCACTGGTACCTGGGCGGATGGATGCGGGGCAGTGAGGAGGGCAGGTGGCTCTGGGCGTGGGATGTCCAGACCAGCCCTGAGCACCCACTGCTTGGTGGGCCACCCCCCGGAAGCCCCTGACCCACGGTTTTCAGACATTTTTGACAGCAACCCACCATAAATCATATTTACACATACAATAAAGTGCCAGTTTTATAAAATACTTAACCTTATTGTGTGCAAAGCACTCCAATATCTTCTATTCTATTTTGTTGTTCAAAACTCCAACTAGGACCCCCTACATTATTTTTGTGACCCACAAATAGGGCACAACTGGCAGTCTGAGAAACTGAAACTGCTCCAGTATGCAACAGGGCCCTCCGCCCCTGGTGGGTGCCCTCCCCCTACAAGCACGGGGATCGGCTCGATTGATCAGTAAGGTATGAAACGCAGCAGCGGGTGGATGAGGCTAGGGAGTGGCAGGCACAGGCCACCGAGGGCCAGGAAGAGGACCGGGAGGGCACCAGGCCCCGGACACCACCCAGCATGGCAGTGGGGAGGCCAAGGAGGCTCCAGTGGCTAGACCCTTTTCTTGGCTCTCGGCCCTCAACCCGGTCCTGCCCGGCACTCACGGCGTTGTCTGGATGGAAGACGTAGGAGGCGGGTGAGTTGTCTAGGATGAGCACCCGCCGCAGGTCTCGGCCCAGCCGGCTCAGGTCCTTCACGTAATTCCCCCGGTGGAAGACACAGGACTCCCGAAACAGGCGCGCCCGGAAGGCCCCCCACTTGTCCAGCAGATCAGCTACTGGGTCTGCATACTACAGAGCGGACCACGGGTCATCTGGGGCCGAAGGTGACCCAGAGGTCCATCCAGCTGCAGGATGGAGACGGAGGGGAGGCAAGTGGACCCAGGAGCCCTTCAGGGGGTTGGGGGGCTGGGGACTCACCTTGGCAAGGCTGGCGGTGAACAGCACGCACTCAAAGAGCTCGCCCATTCGCTGCAGGAACTCATCCACGTGGGGCCTCTTCAGCACATAGACCTAGGGGGTGGGCCAGTGAGGGGACTGCTGGCCCACAGGCCTGGGCAGGGAGGGGAGGGGCGGGGCGGCTGAGGAGGGGGAGGAGGGGGAAGCAGAGCAGAGGGCACAGGAGGGAGGCTGGTCCCAGGGCCTGCGGGCTCCACTGGGCCAGCCGGCCGTTCCAACTGTCCTTCCAGAAGGGGATCAAAATAAGCCTCCAACTTCTAGCTTCAGGTCCTACCTCATGGGGAATCACTAATCCCCTGTCCCTCCCCCACCCTGGCCTTAGGCAAATGGAGGGGCCTGGGGGCAGCCCCCTCACCCCAAGGCTGCAGGGCACCGGCCCCCGAGCCAAGTAATGGAGAACAGGCTGGACAGCACACAACCTATCCTGAATTACTTGAACTGGGTCCCGGGCAAGGTGGGGCAAGGGGGTGCCGAGGAGGAACCCCACTCCCTGCAGGCCTTGGAGTTGGGCCAAGTCCCTGAGGGTCTGTGTGACCTTGGTTGCAAGTCTCACACCCTCAGGGGCCTTACATTCCATCTCTATCAAAGTCCCACCTGGGGTGCTCAGGATTGGTGAGAGGAGCCTGGGGTCTGGAAGGCAGATGCCAAGCCCGCCGCCTCCCCCCCACACCCAGCCCCTCACCTGGTGGACCACCCCATCAATCTCCACAGGGATGATGAAGTCGGCGTTGTTCACTGGCTGTGGGGGGAAAAGGAGCTGCTGGCGCGGGGCCCGCAGAGACCACCCCCCCAGTCCAGGGCAGGCCCCCTCAGAGACCCGGGGCTGAGGGCTGCTGGGCAGGGCCCACCTTGAAGGAGCTGTGCACCAGGGTCTCGTCCAGGTCGATGACCACACAGATCTTGTCCACGTCCTGGGCCTTGGCTTCTGGGAGCAGGCACTGGACTGGGGTCTGCTGCAGGGATGGGTGAGGTAGTTGGGGGCACCTCTCCTAAGGCCCCGTCATTTCTCCTACATGGGTCTTCCCTCCCCCAGCCCTCTACCTGGGGAGACACAGGGGTGGCAGGGAGAGACCACTGCCTTCCCAGCTTTGCCCCCTGCCAACTGGGGCCTGGGGCAGGCTGCACTTCCCCACCTGGGAAGCCAAGGGAGAGAAAAGCTTCCATCTTATAGGAGAAATCCAGACTTCCCTTGGCTGAAGGGCCCTCACATGGGTGGCAGTCTTGGGGCATTCAGAGCCAGGCTGGGAAGGCCTGGGAGGGAGGGTGCAGGGTTTGGGAGGGGGCCTTCCCTATCTTACAGGACCTGCAGACTGGTCATGCCCAGATGCCCGCCCCCGCAGCTCCCACCTGGCCAGCACGCACCTTGGGGACAGCTCCGTTCTCCTCCACCAACAGGGGTGCCCCACTGTGCGCAGGCAGGGCCTCCCCATCGTCCCGGCAGACGCAGCAGAAAAGCGAGTGGAGAATGCCCCGGCTCCGGGGCTTCTGAGAAGCTGCTGACTTCTGGTCACCTGAAGCAGGGAGGCCCGAAGTGGGGGTGTGCACACTAGGCTGCAGAGTCGTGCCTATGTACCCAGGTGCGAGCTCCTGTGCTGTGAGGGTCTGGCCGTGCCCCCTTCGTTCAGGGAGATACACCAACGTGGCTCCAGACCCTCCTGACAGCCTTGACCCCAGGCCACCCCTCTGGTATCCACAAATCCTCCTAGTGTGGGCACAAAGCCACTCTCATCCAGCAGTGGGCTGGCTGGAAGGGGCCCACGGAAAGTGCTTTCTCTTTGCTCCCAGCCTTCATCACTCCTGAGGGATCAGCCCCACTGCGGACGCCTCCTGACACCCACCTTACCTGAGTAGCCCCTGCTCGCTGGGGCCCCTACGGAGGAGGGCTGGGGCCGGGGGCCCTGCTCTCCACTCCCGCCCTCCTCCCATCCTTTCCGCCCACGTGGGTCCAAAGTCCTTACTAAGGCTGGGCGCAGAGGCTGGGAGTGGGGGCCGGGAGTCGGTGTCCCGCAGCCATCTGCCGGCCCCGCCTCCTCCGCCCTCGCCCCGCCCAGACCTCCGACCTAGAGCCCGGCATCCGCCGCCTGATTGACGGGCCCACCCTCCACCGCCCCTCTACCGGGCCCCCCGCCTTCGGGCGGAGCTAGGCCCAGGCCAGAGCTGGGCCGACCCGGAGGGGCTTCCTAGCCTCTGAGGTCAACACCGGGACAGGGAGGGGCAGACGCCCAGCCTAGACCCTCCAGCCCCCGGGGGCCCGGCCGAGGCAGGCGGGCGGCACCGCTCACCGGGTCGGTGCGTGTGTGCACGGGCCCGGCGCCCAAGGGCCTGCAGCTGGGGCGCCTGGTGCTAAGCCCGATGCACGGGACTTCCCGCGGGTGCGCTAGCGAAGTGGGAAGAAGTGGCTGCCCCACTCTTGTGCCTCTCAGGGGCTCAATGCTTCTACGCGTGACGCGGAAGTTTGTTGGGATAGTAGCTGTGCGTTGGCGGGAGATCCTCCCAACCCTCCCCAGCCCGCTGTCACCTCGGCGCCCCCTCCGGCGACCCAACCAGACCGCGACCCGGGGCGGAGCCTCAGCGGGTGGCCTGAAGGCGCCCTCTTCAACCCCCCCATCTCCCAGCCTCATTGGCGCCAATGGGGGGGAGGGGGTGACTGTCGGGCAACGCGCAATGCCAGCCCGGGAGACCCGGAAGGAACCCACTCTCTATCCCTGCCTCAGTTTCCCCCCCTCGAGCACTCGGGAGCGCCCAAGTGGCTCCAGGCCCCGCCCCGCGTCTCGGAGCCTCGGCGAGTTCAAACTCTCTCCTCGATCCCTCTCCGGCTGGGAGCTTTGAGCTCAGCAGTGGCGGGCGCCCGGGGCGGCGGCGGCGACTGACCCGGGAAGGGTCTCGGCCCCCTCCTCCTCCCATCCCGCGGCGCCCCGGCTGCAGCCCCCTCCGCGCGGTCCCAGTACCTTTGCCCCGTAGCGGGCCCCGCGCCTCCTCCTTGGTGATCTGAGTAATGACGGCCGAGCTGTCCATGGGGCCGGGCGCGCTCCGCTCCGGCCGGACTCTGGCCCGGGCGCCCGGCCTCCCCCCCGGCTCGGGCCGGAATCGGGGCGCGGGGGGGAGGGGAGGGGTGGGAGGGAGGGATCCCCGCGAGCTTCGGAGGGGAGGGGAGCCAGGTTCTAAGGGGGAGGGGGAGGGAGGGGGCGCGGAGGAAACTTTGTTACAACATGGAGTTTCCTCCCCGCGAGGCGGATGCAAACATGGAACCCGGGCTCTGTTTCAAGGCTCCCCCTTAAAAGGGCAACGGCTTCGGCGTGACCTGGACTCGGCCGCGGCTTTCATCACCGCTGGGGCCGGCGCGGCTCGGCTCTGGGGCCGGGAGGCGGGCCCCGCCGGGTTCCTGCCGCGCTCCAGGGGGCGTCGCCTCTCTTCCTGCCGCCCGCCCGCGGGGCCGAGCCTCTGCGGCTGCGTGGCAGGACCAGCACCCGGCCCACAGTTCCAGACAGCCGAGCGCCCGGGGCCAGGGCCCGCCCCACCCGCCCCGAGCGCCCACGCCGGGGAGTGCCCGAGGCGGCGCGGCTCCACCTCTGCACCTCGCGAGCGCCAGAGACTAGCCGCTTCTTGGTTTCCTCATCTGGGAGACGGGAATAACGCTCTCTGGTCTGCGAAATGGGTCTTCAGTGGTTGCAGGGCCCGCCTCGCAGGGAAGTCCTGAGCGAGTGAAGGCTCTGCCAGCTCCAAAAGTCTGTGCAGATCCGCAGAATTGTGCGTTTGACCAGACCAGGACCGTCAACACCCACCGCTGTTTCGGGGCCAGGTGACCCGGATCTGTAGGGCGTGAAAATTACAACCCCCTGCCCCGAAATGCCTCCTGCGGACCTCGCCCAATTGCCCCATCGGGTGCTCCGCACGTCCGCGCCCACGGCAGGGCACCAAGCCCCTATGTGCCTCAGGGCCTTCGTGTGCGCTGTTCCCTCCGCCTGGAAAGCGCTTCCAGCCCCTTCACGGAGCCAAATACCACGGACCTCTACGACATGCCACCTGCTCCAAGAGGCCTTCCTAGACCCTTTCTCTACTCCCCACGCCGGGCACGCTGTAATTATTGGGGCGGGGGGGTCATGCGGTGTCCGCACGCAGTGGGCGCTTAATCCCTGCGGGCCAGATTTCTGACGGTGGGGGCGGCCACAGACATCAGCTGTTTGTACGATTTTATTTTTTTATTTTTATTTTTAAAGATTTTCTTCATTTATCTGTCAGAAACAGAGAGAGAGAGGGAACATAAGCAGGGGGAGTGGGAGAGGGAGAAGCAGGCTCCCCGCTGAGGAGGGAACCCGATGCGGGACTCGATCCCAGGACCTTGGGACCATGACCTGAGCCGAAGGCAGACGCTTAACCTCCCGAGCCACCCAGGCATCCCTGTTTGTACGATTTTAAACACCCGTTGCACTTGGGATGTACGGAGACACGAGCTGGCGCGGGGCCCGCGTTTCCACGCGGATTCTTCCCGAGGGAAACTCCCGTGTTATGCGCCGCGAGGTCTGCGGGTGTTTTGTTCTGTTTTGTTTCTCCTGTTTCGGAAGTTCTTTCCATTCTCCTTACTATTTTGTGTTCACAGTTTAAAAAATAATAATAACGCCAAGCCCTGACAAACACGCCTCAGCACTTCCTTCCCCCGCGGGGCCTCGGTGGCGGGGCGGGGCGGGCGCGTCCTGTCCCGTCCAGCCGCCTAGTGCGAGCGCGGCGCACGTCCTCCAGGCCCGGGGCGGGGTGGGTTGGAGGGGGACCCGGGGAGGAGAGAGGCCCTGGGGAGGGGAGAGGCCCAGCGCCGGGGCTGCAGGGCGGGAGAGCGGCGCCGGCCCGAAGGCGCGCCAGCTGCTTGCCGTGCGACGGAGAAGAGAGGAGGCGGCCCGGAGCTGGATGGGACTCCCTCCACCCCCACCCCCCAACCCCCCACTCCAGCCCCAGGCCGGACCCCGCGGCCGTCCTCCTGCCCTTCGGCGCTCACATCGCCGCCAGCGTTGCATTTAATCCTAATAATCGCCGATGTGTAGCTAGCGATTCGTCTGCGTCCTGCTCTAGCTGCGCCCCCTAATCTCGTTCACTCCTCAGAACGACCCCCTTCTTTTCCCATTTTATAGATAAGGAAACTGAGCTCCGAGAAGTGAAGCGACTTGACCCAGCCTTCTGGCGAGGTTAGAGGTGGGGTTCTGGCCACCAAATCGAGACCCCCCCCCTTCAGTTGAGGCCCGGGGCGGGGTGTCAGCTTTATCTCCGGATGCCCAGCTTGCACTGACCCCAAAAGGAAATGTGTGGGGGAGGACTGAATGAACCCTGGACTCATCCCTAGCCTGAGCAGGGCGGCTCACTTTCCTCTCCTTTCCTTTCTCCCTCTCTGAAGGCTGAAACCTGGCCCGGCTGTCCCCTTGGGAGTCAGAGTAGCTGACCAAATGGATAGGGCATCGGGGAGGGTCGCTGCCCACCCCCGGCCCCATCCCCCTCGCCGCGCATCCCTAACGTCAGCCCCCTCCAAGGCCTCTTCCCCTGGGAGACCTTCCCAGGCTCCAAGGCCTTAGAGGGGGACCTTCTCCCAGGGAGGGGTGGTTACCAGGGAGTCAGCAGCCGCCCCCCCCCCCACCTCCGCAGAAGCCGGCAGAAGTGTTCTGTAGGGTCTCGGGGGTTCTTTGGGCTTCCTCCCTGGGGGGGGGGGGGCAGTGTCCACACCCAGCCGCTACCCCATAACTGCACTGCCCCAGCAGCTGGAGGTCACCTTACCCACAGGTTTTTTTACTGCACCCCAGGAGGATCAGATCAGGCGGGCTGTGAGTCCAGAAACCCCAGGACTCCGCTGGGTTCTGACTAGCAACCGTGGACAAGTCTCCTCCATTCAGCACCTCAGCTTCCTCACCTGCCAAAGGGGCTTGCTAGGAGCCCAACCCAGGCAAGTGAAAGGGGGGGGGCTCAGGGCAGAAAGGGAGGGTGTCCTCCTCAGACCCTTGGGGAGAATCCAGGTGCCAGGCCCCCTCCCCGCTCCCTCCCTCTAGGAAGAACCAGAGCTACTGGGGGAGTGGAGGGCAGCCCCTTGTAAGGGCTTCCTGCCCAGAAATGACTGACCTTGGCCTGACCTCATTGCTAATCCCTTGCCCAGGCCCAGGGTAGCCCCGTAGCGGATCCTTTGGTTCCTTCCCCTCCCTGCCTTCCTTGCACCCACATTCTCAGTGGCCGCCTTAACTATTCAGATGCCCGGCCTGCTCCTTCCTCTGGGCTCCCCGGTCCTGCTCTACAAGATCCAAGAACTCCCCACAACGTCGCATGCCTCTGTTTTGCACACACTTGCGCCCCCCCCCCCCCCCCCCCCCCCGCTCCTGGGCAGGTTCATTCTCTCTTGGCTGCCCTCCCCACTTCTCCATTCAGCTTTCAAAATCCTGTTCGGGAGTTACCTGCTCTGGCCCTGGCTTCACTCTTTTCCAGGTGTGCCTGACACACACTTGGGTTGTTCCCTCGCCCCACTGTTGAGTGATTTGCTGTCACTTAACGTAGCTGGCTCCCCCTACTGGAGTGTGAGCAACTTGAGAGCTGACGTCTTTAATTCGGGACTTTGCCTTCCTCCCCCACTTCTAGCACAGGGATGGCACCCAATTAATAGTGAATTGATGGAGAGGGGTGTGCCGGGGTACAGCTGGGGACACCTCCAGGAAGCTGGAGAGGAGTATGGAAGATGCCTCTTTCTCCAGTATCCGGCCCCCATCCATTCCCCTCTTCAGCTAGCGTGGGTCCCACCCTCTCCAGGGCCAAGCCCAGAAGAGGCTACAGCGGCCTTTCAGCTCAGGTGCTGTACCCTCTCCCAACCGTTTCTCTGGTTGGGCCAGACCTGTCCCATCCCGTCCCTCCTTAAGGGCCCCACTCGCATCGTTGCCCTTTTAAGAAAGAGGAAATTCTTCTCATAAACAAGCACCCCAACCAGAGCGCGGAGCTTGCCCCTCCAGATCCTGGGCAAACGGGGGTGCTTCCAGGCACAAGGCCGGCTCCAGGCTCAACCCCGGGAAAGGCCTGACGGCCCTTTCTAGCTACCGCTCTCCGCAGCCCAAAGGCTGGGGTCCGGGAGACCCGAAGAGGGAGGAGGAGGGACTTGGGGGAGCCTAGAAACCGCCCAGGGAGCGTCTGTAAAGTGCAACTCCTGCACCGGGCGAAGGGGTGCCGGGCGGCTCCCAGCGGCCGAAGGGGTTCCCCCGCCCACACAACTCCCCCTTCACCCCCCGCCCCTTCGCCAGGGCGGATTCTGAAGCCCCAGGGCGCGAGGCTCGAGCGCCCGCCTCCTCCTCCCTGGGCGGGAGGAGTGAGGCCGCGGCTGGGAGCGAGGGCGCTCGGGACCGTCCCTGCCCCTAGGGGGAGCTGGGAGTCAGAGCGGAGGGAGCGTTAAGAGCGCGGCGTGGGAGTCCCGGACGCCGGGTCCCCTGGGGAGCTAGCAAATTAATTGGGCCTCCGAGGCACGGACTCTTGGGTTCCACGACCTGGTGCCCGAAGAGGGGACAACTGCGCCTCCGTTTTACTGCCTGGAAAGTGGGTTTCGGGTGGAACAGAAAGTTTGAGGCTACTCTAACGGAGTAGGAGCGAACTGACGTTCGAGTAGAGGGCTGCTTCTAATTGTTCGAGGATTCGTGCTTTCCCGGTTTCTGCTCTCCCGCTCTTTTGGACGAGAAGTGAACTAGCATTTATTGAGCATCCATCAGACTATCCTAAGCGCCAGTTTGGAACCTGTGTCCCGCCCCCAACTGGGTCCCTCCATTGGTCACTCCTATAGGTGCTCAATATTTTTGGAGTTACTATTATTTTTAAGTCCCAAGTGTCAGGCACTGTGTTAAAGTGCTTTATATCCATCTCAAGGTTGGTGTTGTCCCCATTCTACAGATGAGCCCACTAAGACTGGAGGTTAATCACTTGTCCAAGCTAGGAAACAGCAGGTTCTTACGGAACCCAGGTTGGCCTGCCTCCAAAACTCCCACTCCATCTTGCTGCCCCCACACACTCCAGCAGGCCAGTCTGCCCCAGTCATTCCATCTCCCAGCCAGGCCCTGGGTGGGAGTTCATTCAGAGATCTTCCTCCCCTCCTCCTCTTCAGGAAGCCCGTACAAGAAGTGTTGATGGGAGCTGTGGGCCAGAGGGGTGGCTCCATGGGCAATGAGACAGGTCCAGACCTGAGAGAGGGCCGACTGTGAGTCCAGGAGAGAACAAGACCTCCCAGGAAGCCCCGGTGCACCCCCTTCCCCCAGTGCCCTCCATCCTTTGCCTCCTTTCCTTGCCTCCCCCATCCCCAAGGCACCCTCTGGCCCTACAGTACCAGATAGGTGGTGAGACCCAGGTAGACCACG